ACATCTGGGCCATGGCCAATCTGGGGTGTGGCCGAGACATCTCGGCCGTGGCCAATCTGGCATGTGGCCGAGACATCTCGGCCGTGGCCCGACCATGGGGCCGATACACCTTTTTTTTTTTTCAGCCGCGGCATGGCGCGTCGCGGTGCGACTGACCGGACAAAAAAAAAAAAAAAAAAAAAAAAAAAAACCCAAACAAATGCAAGGAAGTAGAGCCAAAGCGAACTCCAACAATCACAAAGCATCACTCGTATGAGTCCAGATAGTAAAGACCTCGAACCAAAATAGCATTGCAACTCAAGTTCACCAATGAAGAGAATAAGCAATGGCTCTTAATTGACAATGTCCATGTGTCCAGTCATCAACTCAGAACCAATGTCGCTCCCTACCTGGCGCTCGGTGCCCGGCTACTATGGCAGATCCTATCTAGCCTACACTACGACATGCAGAATGATGACATCAACAGCTTCAACGAAGCACGAGCATCAGCGGCCAATGCYGCTWGCATCGAGCAACCGGTAAGTCTCTCGCTTCACCTCACAACCCTGTACCTCACCACACAGATGCCACTTGCACCCAAGAACCACCAGCGCCACACCCAGCATACAGCGGAGCAGCTCGGCTATGGCTGCCCGCTCTTCCCCTGCTCGCCCGTGAGCGCGTGGGTGCCCGGCATGCAAAATAGCGCAGCAGCGCTCGCGCAGCATGCAGCCAGCACCCRAATTCCCAAATGCGGAGGCAGGCCCTTTGCTATATCCCCGTGGCCTGCCTGCCTGCTGTCCCCTGCGTGCCCTGGGTCTGTCCCCAGAAGCTTCCGGTAGGCCCCCCGGTAGGCTGAGGCCCGGTACACCAAACTCAGGCCTTGTGCCTGAGTAGTTGCATGTGCCCAACTGTCAAAGTCTACGTGAGGCACAGTTTCCGTATCCAGCCCGGGGCCTGACTCTCATTCATTTACTCAGGAGGCCCTGGGCGGAAATTCATTCAACCAACTGGCATTGTGCAACTGCCTGAATTTCYAYGAGCTGTTTGGTTGCCRAACACAAGGCCTCCAGGGCCTCGTCGTGCCTGCCTTCTCTTAGGGCGGCCGACGACATATGCAGAAGGCCAAAATGGGGTCCATAGAGGCTCCAGCCTCACATTCCCTCCTCCATATCTTCGACAGTCCTCTGAGAAGTTCAATCCCCAGCCATCTGGCGCTTTCCTTTCAATATATCCTTCTCATATCTGGCAACGATTTGAGGAGCGGTCTGCATCAGTTCCTCCCTGGTAAACCAGCGGTCCTCCTTTGGATCGATATGATGTCTGAACCGGACCCGGTACTGCATCTTCGGCCTTGGAGGACGACCCCTGCCTGTGGGCTTTTGAACTGGCATCTCCCGGTGGTCGACGATGTCGTCAATGTCGACTTCTCCGTCCATGGTTGGGGGCAGCATTGAGCGACGCGAAGGAAACTGATCTGTTTCCTTGAATGGTGCAAGCTTGGATGCGTGAAAGACTGGGTAAGTACGGAGGTGACCAGGGACCCGAATGACATAAGATGGGCCATCCGGATCTGTCCCAACGATATCCAACACTTCCCAGGGCCCATAATACTGTGGCATGAGCTTGCGGGAGATCCCGTGCTCCTGTCCCAGTTCGGACGACTTAACCCAGACCCTTTCCCCAACCTGTAAGTAGGACGGCGGTGCTTATTCTCAGATTCAATCATAGCCGCCTGTGCCTTTTGCATGTGATCGACAGCCTGCTGCATTCGATCTTCATAGCGGTAGGCATACTCTAGTGTGCCTGGTGCAGCTGTAGTGTTACATGCTGAGAGCCTCCACACGGGCCCCTCACGGGACCCGAGGTTGGATAAGGGCCCCCAGGTCGCGTCACCGCAAGCTGGAGGCCCTACGGCCATTTTACTTAGGCCTGCATCGGAAAGACTTCAACTTTAAGTTGATTTCTAATTTATTTATTTACTGATGTGTTTTTACTAATGTGCTGTTGTCCGTTTTGTGGCCAGGTACACAGTTAGGACCAGGGCCGGAATCAGGCCCAGAGGCTGAGCCTCTAATTCAGTTTGGACCGTTACTCGTTTTCAGAAAGACGTTGGGACCTTTACTCGTTTTCGGACAGACTGTGGACCTGGACAGATGTTCAGGCCTGATACATTAAACGTTTGGACCTTTACTCGTTTTTGGCCAGACGTTTGGACCTTTACTCGTTTTCAGAAAGACGTTGGGACC